AGTCTTGGGCAGCAGTTAAGGGCATACCTCACACCTGTTCCATAATACAAATTTACTTTCAAATTTTTCTGATCCATCAAGGCCCCATTGTAATTGCAGAATTGGCACAAATTTTAGCCACAGTACAGTACAGTACTGTAGTACTTTTCAGAATTAAGAAAATGATTGGCCAAGTACTATACTAATACATGTACTGTACTTGCATGTTCTTTTACCACTGCCCTGCTCTGACCTCAAATATAGCAAACCCCTGGTGCACAGAAAATAAGTTGTTCGTGCTTCTAATACTGTAATGTTAAATATCCTTCCCTTATCACATATATGTTGAAATAAATTCGAAATTGTACTTGCTTTGACCGCAGTGGGGTCCAGAAAATGGCGTGTGACATCACGGTTTGGTGGTTGCCCGTAGCCTAGATTCTTGGAGCCAGTCATGCGCCAGCTTCAATATGTGCGAGTTGCCACAAATATTTTTTGTCCATTTTTTCTGCACAATTTACATGCATTTATATAATTTTTTCTTACCAATCCTATGTACAGTATATTGAACATGTTCACCATATTCTGGCAGTGGAACATCTATACTGTTCCAAGACAGTGTGTTACATGTATCACAAATGTGTCCACAAACATCAATCATATTTCTAATTTGTCATGTTCATATATATATACATTTAAACCATATTTACACACTGTACACTATCACACACTATATACATTCCCTATCAACACACTTGGAACTCCTCGAGTGTGTAATATTCAGAGAAGCAGTTGACAGGGCATAGGGGAACCTTGCGCTCAACGCACCAGGTGCAGCAGCATCTTCGCTTGCATTCCCTAGGTTGTGTTCTCTTGCTGACAACACAGGCACGTTTACCCATGTCCCAGAATCCTGTTGGTGGCATATAACCAAGCTTGTGTACAGCCAGCATCTCGTTACCCCTGAGTCTGTCAGGAACTGCGTGTGGCATTGTTATTGGCACCCCAAGCATTGCAACAGAGCTCTCCTTCCCAAACTTCGAGAATTTGTGATGCTAGAGCAACACTGATTGTGCGTATTGGAGGTCTCTTGCCTGATTTCATGATACATATTGAAACAGTTTAGCACTGCAACATCAATGAAGTGGAAAAAGAATTTCTTCGTCCACTTCAGATTTCCGCACGCATTCGATGGCACCAAGCATTATGTCACATCTATCAACTAGTCACATGTTGACGTTGTAGTTAATGACACAATCAGGTTTATATATTGGGAACTGTGTTGTAAAGTGTACTTTGCCACTGTCCAACATGGCACCAGTGTGAATAGTTGTCAACATATTCACCTCGCATCTGTCCCTGCAGCGCACTGATAAGATTTTGTCACACTTTTGCAGCTGGCAATCACCCACTGCAAAACCAATGCCAAATACTGGCATTTCCCTCCAGTGGTCCTTGACAGTGCCACATACGCCAGTGTTGTGGTCAAGGAGGAATCTGGTCAGCAAGGGGCTGGTATAGTAGTTGTCCGTGAACAGGATATGCCCCTTGTTCAGCAATGGTTCCACGAGTGTTTTGACGATACTGCCGGAGAACCCATGTGGATCTTGACCTGGTATGTCAACGTCTGTATCTGAATACAGCATCATGTCCATGACAATACCAGTTTCGCAGTCACATAGCACAAAAACTCGAGTCCAAACCAGTGCCACTTTGATAGGATGTACGGCTTGAACGCCAGTCGTCCCTTGAAGAGGACCACATTCAATCAATCAATCACCACATTCTGTCCTGGTACAAAATAATCACAGAACTTTCCTCTAATATCACTAAAAATCTTCTACACCTTCCAAAGTATGTCCTGTCTTTCTTCATTATCATTGTTCTCAAAGTGCAGGCATCTGAGAAGCAGCAGGAACCTATCACGTGACATGTACCTGTTGAACACGGGGGATGGAACAAGGCAGTCTTTGCTCCAATAATCCTGGATCACATGTTTTTCAGAATGTTTCACCATCATGCTCAACGCTAAACACACATACATTTCCTCATTTGTCGTGTCTTTCCATCGTGTCATGCGAGAGGCAGGTAAAATGCCCGAGTCAATGAGACTGCGAGCATATCTGACGTCTCTGCAACGAGGTGGTCCATAAATTCCTAGTCAAAATATGCCATAAAATAGTCAATTTCAGTCGTATCATCACCTGTATAGGGGAATAACAGTGTCACACCAACATCGGTACCATGTTGGAATTTGTTGGCCAAAAGTCTCACAAACAAGTACAGTACACCAGTGGGTTTGGTTTTGGCGCCAACACCACCACGAGCACCAAAAACATGTTTCCGTCGTCCTGTGCTAGAGCTACGTATAGGTATGCCAGGAAGTGTGTGTTTTGCGTAGAGTAAGCCTACCATGAACATCTGATGTCATGGGAATACTGTCGTCATTGTCCTCTGGCTGCGTGACACGCTGCCACTTGCCTCGGCGTGTTTCTAGAGCAGCAAAATCCCGCCTAGTAACACCATCAACAAGGATCGTTGCGCAGTGCAGTGTTTAACCATGCTGAGTTTTAGTTCATTCCCAGGTAAATGTAGCTATGTTCATACAGTAAATCAAAATCATAATGTTCGAAAAACACTTTTTCACTATAGAAATTAATGAGAACTGGTTTTTTATAAATCCCTAGAATTAAACAGTTAAAAATAAATTGTGCACAAACACTTGGACTGAACGGTAGAGCAATGATCTCACTTCTTGCAGGTTAGTGTTCATTTCCAGATTATCCAGGTGGTTGGGCACCATTCCTTTCCTCCGTCCTATCCTCACATCTTTTCCAAGTGCTAGATAGTCATAATGGCGATTTCTCCAGATAATTAATGAATTAAGAATTTTTGGCCGTATGGAGCCATTGAACCCACAAATATTTAATATATTTAATAAGAGAATTTTGTCTTCCTTCACCAGTATTTTTTCCCCTGAATTCTACAAAGAAAAAAACGGGTAACTATCCAAATTAATTAGTATCAGAAATTATAGTATCAGAATTTAATATGAAATTTTGTATATCTAAGAAAATAAATGGATTACAGTACTGTATTAGTTTGTTTCTGTATTTCTAACTTGTTGCAGTTATAAAAATGTAAAAAAAATTAAGACTTGAGCAACAGAACTATACACTGAAAGGATTTAAGAAACACTTCATTACTTAAAATTTATTATAGATCCAATTTCATGAACTTACTATTAAGAGGTAATGCATATTAATGCCAGTGAAAAAATGAAATTTAAAAACTAGTTTTAAAACTGTTCACTGTCAACATAAAAGGTACCTTAAAATTAAAAATTATGCGAGCTTTTAACCTTTCATAGATTTTTACTGAATGTCCTCTCAGGCAACAAAAATTGCATAAGACTAAAAACCAGAAAAACTATGAAGGTAATATAATATAAAGCTTTGCACCACACCATAGGGCAAAACTATAAATGAAATGTATAAATTATACAAAAATAAGCAACATTTCCTCCCTTTGCTATTATCACGGCTTGAAAGGCAGCGGGAGAGAAATATTCACGATGGACAGATAGTTGAAGAAATTGGAAAGGTTAAGATGTTTAACCTTGAATGTTTAACCAATAAATATAGTTGAACATTTCCAGGTAAGAACATGCCTTCTAATACTTTATCTAATTAAATATTGCATCATTTGTAATAATTAATGATTAAACAAAAATACTCACTTTTACTTTACAGCAATCTACAACTTAGTAAATAAATGAATTTGTGCTGAAGGCTGTCAAGATATTACCAGATTATAAGATTTGCTTTTATTTGAACAGCTTGTGGCACCATGGGTTCACCTTGTGAACCCATTCAAACAGGCCAGTGTTTTACCTGCAGCACTTATGAGCACAGTGTGAAGATGCAGCTTTATCTGCGAGTGCATTAACAATATAGAGTAGTTGGCACAAAATAGTTAACTCGCACCTCTAGCAACTCTTGCAAGTGTCAAGAGGTAGAACAGTCACTCCAGCCAAATTGTGAAGTAACCTTGCGTGACAAGCCAATAATTGCATGGATAAGACATGTGGCAGGATGTTTATCAGCCAATGATGTACAAGCCCACAATTTGCACTGACATTCTGATTAGTTTCACCAAATTCATGGGTTCCTAGTGTCCCACCTTGATGTTGGATTAGTCAGCCATCAAATGCACCAATTTTTTCAAAAGCTTCATATGACCACAGGCACTTCTCTGGCCAAGAAAGTCTCTTTCCATCGAACATCAAACTGCTGATGCGATACAGCAAGCACTAGCTCATCTACAATTGTCTACTGTAAGTGTGGATGCCAAGTCATGCACACCATGTTGAGCGTCTGCATCTACAGAGTTTTATGCTTATATTATGACCTGTGTAACCACCTCGTTAAGCCGAAGAACAAAATCCACATATTGCAGTGCTTGACGTGTATTCACTTACATTTCAGCAAGAGTAGCATCCATATTTACCTTGTTGTCCAACTAAGTAAACATCACGTAAATGATCTAAGTGTTGCCCAAGCTACTTGGGACATTATTCTTGTTTATATTATTTATGCATACCATGAGTTGTAGACACAGCTTGTCAGTAATCTTGTTTTGCAGTATTATTTCCTCAGTGCAGATTTCCAGTGGGGACAACAGAGTACCCATTTATTAAATATTTATGGCTTTGATTTGTATACAGTATATGGAACACGTACATATATAAAGTACTGTATATACATATTGATGTTTCCTGACGCTGGTCCTTTGCATTACAATGTGTACACAGTAGTGCTTACTGGCCAAGTCAGTTTTAAAAAGTAACTATCACTTGATTAAAAAACGATTCATTCCCTCTTGTTTTACTGCATTAGTACTGTAATTACATTCTTTGAATCATAACTCAATAATACTATATGATATGCAATTTATTCATGTTACAACTATATATCAATAAGCAAGCCCACTTTCATGGTTCATGCACAGCAAGACAATCATTTTCTCCATAAATTCTTTTATTAAATGTGAAACTTACAAACCTAACACAAGCATGCAATGCGACTAATATTCTTACAAATTTGTCCTGTTCTTTATTTTGAGTATATGGTGGAGAGTATATTAAGAGATGACTGAAACCTTTCATCAACCTTCACTATTACAGAGGCTTTACAGACCTGATCACTCATTACACTGCCCACTTAACTATCCTTTACATCTACAATGTGTAACAAAATGTTGCAAAATCTGAAATCTATTAACTTGAAAACTAATACAGAATATACATCTGTAAGAAGAAAATTTGAATCTGGCTCAATTAACGTAGTTTTTCCCACTGAAACAGGATCAGACATTGCATAATCCTCGTCACATCAGAGTTGCACATACTCTGGATTTCTTAGTGCCAGCTTTAACATTTACATAACTAAAAAATAAAGATCACAAATAAAACAGAGTTGCTAAGAAGTATGATTAAAATTAATTAGTATCAGTTTTGTGAGCCCAGTATTTTTCTGGAACGCATCTGTGTATCTAAGTTGGCTAGCTTCTCTAGGCTGGTACTTGAATATAGACTGGGTACCTTCAGTTCGCGCTTTTTCATGCTGGAATTTCCATGGCGCATCCCCTTTCCGTTTTCTTTGTTCTCCTGCGAGATTAAAGTAACATACATTAATGCAATTAACTGCACAAGCACAAGTATTTGCTTCAGTAAACAGCTTGAAACAAAAATTTATAAATTAGAATTTTGGCCAGTAGACCAGAAAAAGCAAAGTGAATATTCGTTGCAAGGTAACATGATAATTGATGTGTATAGGTAAATGTGCGGTCACAAGATGGACACATTGTCTATACATCTTCCAACAAGTACCACAATACTAGGGTATATTCCATTCCTTGAGCTAAAGGGGCTGGGGGAAGGTGGGTGTTAGAAATAACATAAGCTTCTCCTGGAAGCTTTATCACCATACAAACAATTCACACACTAATACAAACATTGTCCAGAAATATAAAACATTTATACACTGACTAGAAAGACCAAATTGTGATTTGATGAGAATCACAGGTGGTTGGTACATGATAACTTTAATTACCTAAGCAATTAAAAATTATAGCAAACTTTTTTCATGGGTCTAAGTTAGTGTCATTACATTTACATTGATGAATATTAAATTTTATTTATAAAAACCAGCAATAACTAAAATTATTGTATGACAATAGCACCATTTTAATAAGTAGAATTGTACCTTTTTCTATTGCTAGTTTAGTCTTAAAAAACACAGTATGGACATATCATGGCTATTTGCATTTCTGAATGTGCTAGTGCAGTTCACCTCGTTACTAAAGTTATTTTATAATTTTTTATCGTGAGAGTAGAAAAAGTATGTGCCAGCAAATATAGTCTGGCTAGACTAAATATTAAGGAGGCAAATACACACACACACACACACAAAAAAAAAAAAAAAAACAGTAAATTAATGTTGAAAAGTGAGGGCTAGAAGAAAAATGTGATGGAAACCTTAACACAATGTGATATTTCTTCTATGCTAGTGGTCTTTAATCAGGAATTTTTATGCAAATTTATTTTGATATACTATAATTACTTGCAAGAATAAAACATGTCTGCCAACAAGAATAAACCAGATGTGGCCAAATACGAGGTAGAGGTTGCTTAAAACAGAAGAACTGCTAAATTGAGCAGTCCTAGGGAGTGAGGATAGTGGTGCTGGTACGCGATTGTAATATCAGTAGCATACTGATCTTAGGGAAAATGGTATTGTACCGCCTCATAATGTGCGCCAAGCACAAGCCTGGCATAAATCTACTGGAAACAAGGATCAGTATCTAGTTCACTTGGAGGCAACAGGAGCCTGAGGATCAAATATTGACCTGATACAGAAGAAATGGCCCAGAAAGTCACAAGGCAAAACAAAAACCTCTGTGCTTAAGTATCACAGTAGGAGGAGGAGGAAGGAAAAGTAGAAAGAAGGGAAGAGAGGGAGAAAGAGGGAGATATGGGAAAAAGAAGTTAAATTGAAGGAAGAGGGAAATGGGGGAAAATTGAAAGAAAAAAAACAAAGAGGAGAAAGATAAAGAATAAATGAATGTAACCAAGCAAGAAATTCTTCATCCACACGAGACAACAGTTAAGTGCCTACCTTGTAATCATTGAGAGATGATGCCGAGGAGGAGCGAGAGAGAGAATTGCCGGAATCTTCCCGCTGCATACGAGGATTGGGGACGAGGAACACCTTGGAATCATTCTAAAGAAAAACATTTTGAAAAACATTTGTCATTCATCTCATAACTCAGAAGCAGCAAAACTTTATGGACTGATATTTAGGAAAATTGAAAAAAATACTAAATATATTTTTTTCTTGGGGTGGGGGGGAGGAAGTCAAGAACAATAAGAGAAAATCAAGAATACACATTATTTGAATAACACACTTTACTTGAGGGCATCCTCATATCTAACAAACACGAGGCTGGTGCTTATAGTATGGAAAATATAAAAATTACTACAACATGCATTTCATAAACTTTAGAAAATAATAAAAATAAATGAATCACCACAAGATAGAATGTGCAGCCATCAACCTGAATCAAGGAAAGTTCAGCAATGGTACTCAACTGGTTAAGCTAATAATTTTGTGTTCTGATTACATGTCAATCAATTATTCACCAACTTCAAATTACTGCTGGTTAGACAATGCCATGTCTAACCCAAATACCCTCAAATCATTTCATTAACACTGTCATCATGATGCATCTCATGAACTTTTGTCTCCCATTTTTTCCACTTTTATAAGCACTAGCCATGCATGTATCTACTGTAATTGGATTTCATCAAGTGGAATGATTACTAGAGTGTTATTTGCAACCAAGAGTACTATAATTATCCCTGGTATAAGGACAGGCATGTAATTTTTTTTAGCTGAAAATATTTATTTTCAAGATACTGTTCATTCACAGTCTTCCCTGCCCAAATCCCCAAAAATTTTGTTTCAAAATCTGCCTTGAGTCATCTACATGGTCCAATAACACGAAGGAACTTTATTGCATCACTATACAAAAGTCTAAAGTTTCAAGCCAATAAATGATATTCTCCAGCTACCACAAAGAAACGGCAATTCTTTAAGTGACAACTAACGTATCCCATAAAGGAATAATTCAACAATTACCATGTCGACTTAAATACTGTATAACTAACAAAATATTAAATGATGGAAAAGATAATGTATTCATTCCTAATAAGTTTTCCCCTAACACAAGATGGCAGTCAAATAACTTGAGAGGTGACAAACTTGCCTTAGTGGAAGAAATAGAACCTGATCGTGCTCGTCCTTCTAACTCATCATCTAAAAATTCAGATGACACATGTGAGGTCTCCGCTGATGATGAACTCGTGTTGTCATCCTATAAACAAAATGAACAAAGAATTAGACCGTATCTCAGTACACTTGAAGCACATGCCAACAATCAATGAATATTAATCTTAATTTAATTAACCCACTAAAGTGTGGCTAACTGCCTATGCAACAAAAAGAGAATTTACAATTTTATTTTATAAAATGACACCAGCAAGCTAAAAGTAAGGAAACACAGCTGAAATAAAGAATACCAAGGCAATACCTGCAATAGTGAAAGTGGTAAAGCAGTGAATTGAGCTTGAAACTAAAGTGGTGAAAGCAACCACCGTTGCTATAAGACAGTGTTCAGGAGCTGGAACTCACTATATACACACACACACACTTCACACAAGTATAAAACACTAAATTAATGTTTTCCCACCCCCCACAAAAATAGAAAATTATAGTAGTATGTGATTATTATTCTTGAACAAAATCAATTTACCAAATCCTTAAGTTTCATAAAAATGCATAAAAGTTATTAAAAGTTCAGGTTTTCTTCATATCCATTATTTTAAATTCTAATAATTCAGCCCCTTTCAACAAATATCATTTCACCAAACATTCACTAGTTTTAGCTGTAAACTTTCACAGATACATGTTATTTACCTCGACATCATCTCCTAAATTTGGAAGCGGAATCCTTGAAAGTGTTGACACAGTGCCAGACCGATATCTCTGAAGTAGTCTTTCGTGAGGAGATGTGCAAGACAGGATCGATGGAAATGTATATTGCTGACGCACCGGAGTTTCACCTGTAAAAACAGATAAGAATTAATATGAAAAGAAAAAATTTATCAACTGAAAATGGAGTGGAAAATAGGATCTGCAGATAAAGGAAGAATTGCAATAATACTATTACATTATTACAATAATAATTATGGAAGGGAATGGGGGTAGGGGTGCACACAAAGACCATTACAATTCTTTGCATGAGCTCAACAATCACTCCTCACTTGGAACCTCCAAGCAAATAGTTATATCACAAGCTGCCATCACTAGTGCCATCATCACATTTTGAAAAGTACAGTAAATCTTTTTAACAATAATTTCTACTTTCAAATTCCTGGGTTATTTGTAAAAAAGCTTGCATATGGTGCAAGTCAAAATGAGATGGGAATGAGAAGTATTTATCAACCTCACTCACAAATTTATCAAGTTAAATACAGTATTTCCATAAGTTAAACAAGTAATTAAAGCATCTCTTGCACCAAACATCGTTGCATCTTTCAAACCCCACACACCCAAGACCATATGGTACCCCTACTAACATGCTCATTAATTTAATGTCTTGGACTAAATGACATAAATTATATACAATAAAAGTAGGCTTCCTCTTTATATTTAAATACAAGTGAAAGAACAAGGCAATCATCAATGCTACAAAGACTATTATTTACTGGGTATAGGTTTACATTCACCTGTTGGCATATCTTTGGCCATCTTCTCAGAGAACAATTCCAAAACTTGTTCTTTTCTTGCACCGAGTTCATCATCATGTTTGCTCGACCATGTCTTGAAGTTGCTCACATTCATCCGACATTCATTATTAACACGAGCACTCTCTGCTTCTAATCTCAATATCTCAGCCTCTAAGGCTTTATTCTTGGTCTCCACCTCCTTTAACAGTTTCACTGCTGCTGTCTGCAAATTGATGGAAAAATAATTCATAAAAAGTAAATATTTCAAACAATTTAATAAGCTGTTACACACCACTCATCAAGATAGCAATGAAGTTTCAACTGTTTCCCTTCTAATTTATCCTACAACTTGAAAAAAACAAAAACAAAAAAAAAATCATTACTGCTGACAATTACAAGTTCATATCCACTACATGATGTAAAACAATTTTTTTTTTTAACCGACTGAAAAAATCTACCCTCCCCTAATTCTTACGCACACACACAAAAGACCATACAAGTGGTGTGAGTGTATGGTAAAGTTGGTTAACACCCACGGTCAACCCCCCACCTTGTAAGCACCACCACCACTGAACAGAAATTTTGAAAAAGGGATTGCAGACAAATGTAAAACAGAACCAGGTCTATTCTATAAATTCATAAACAACAAATTGCAGGTAAAGGATAATATTCAGAGGTTGAAAATGGGAAATAGATTCACGGAAAATTAAAAGGAAATGTGTGAAACATTAAACGAAAAGTTCCAAAGTGTGTTTGTACAAAATGAAATCTTCAGGGAACCAGATACAATAAGAATTCCAGAACAACATAGAGCACATAGAGGTGTCTAGAGACGAAGTGGAAAAAATGCTCAAGGAGCTAAATAAGAACAAAGCAGTTGGTCCAGATGGAGTTTCACCATGGGTTCTGAGAGAATGTGCACCTGAGCTCAGCATTCCTCTTAAACTGATTTTTCAGGCATCCCTGTTTGCAGGAGTTGTAGCTGATGTGTGGAAAAAGGCTAACATAGTTCCAATCTACAAAAGTGGAAGCAGGGAAGACCCCCTTAATTATAGACCGGTATCATTGATAAGTGTAATAGTCAAAATATTGGAAAAAATAATTAAATCTAAATGGGTAGAACACCTGGAGAGAAATTATATAATATCAGACAGACAGTATGGTTTTCGATCTGGAAGATCCTGTGTATCGAATTTACTAAGTTTCTATGATCGAGCAACAGAGATATTACAGGAAAGAGATGGTTGGGTTGACTGCATCTATCTTGACCTAAAAAAGGCTTTCGACAGAGTTCCACATAAGAGATTGTTCTGGAAACTGGAAAATATTGGAGGAGTGACAGGTACGCTTCTAACATGGATGAAAAATTTTCTGATAGAAAAATGAGGGCTGTGATCAGAGACAATTTATCGGACTGGAGAAATGTCACAAGTGCAGTACCACAAGGTTCAGTTCTTGCACCAGTGATGTTTACTGTCTACATAAATGATTTACCAGTTGGTATACAGAATTATATGAACATATTTGCTGATGATGCTAAGATTATAGGAAGGATAAGAAACTTAGATGATTGTCATGCCCTTCAAGAAGACCTGGACAAAATAAGTACATGGAGCACCACTTGGCAAATGGAATTTAATGTTAATAAATGCCATGTTATGGAATGTGGAATAGGAGAACATAGACCCCACACAACCTATATATTATGTGAGAAATCTTTAAAGAATTCTGATAAAGAAAGAGATCTAGGGGTGGTTCTATATAGAAAACTATCACCTGAGGACCACATAAAGAATATTGTGCATGGAGCCTATGCCATGCTTTCTAACTTCAGAATTGCTTTTAAATACATGGATGGCGATATACTAAAGAAATTGTTCACGACTTTTGTTAGGCCAAAGCTAGAATATGCAGCAGTTGTGTGGTGCCCATATCTTAAGAAGCACATCAACAAACTGGAAAAGGTGCAAAGACATGCTACTAAGTGGCTCCCAGAACTGAAGGGCAAGAGCTACGAGGCATTAAATATGCCAAAACTAGAAGACGGAAGAAAAAGAGGTGATATGTTCACTACATACAAAATAGTAACAGGAATTGATAAAATCGATAGGGAAGATTTCCCGAGACCTGGAACTTTAAGAACAAGAGGTCATAGATATAAACTAGCTAAACACAGATGCCGAAGAAATATAAGAAAATTCACTTTCGCAAACAGTGGTAGACGGTTGGAACAAGTTAGGGGAGAAGGTGGTGTAGGCCAAGACTGTCAGTAGTTTCAAAGCGTTATATGACAAAGAGTGCTGGGAAGACGGGACACCACGAGCGTAGCTCTCATCCTGTAACTACACTTAGGTAATTACAGAAGTGTTCAACAAAAATGTCTGATAAAAACGTGCATAGAATGCAACATGAAGGTAGATTACCAACAAGAGCTTTCAATGCCAACTCTGTTCAACCGCCATACACAAAAAATGTGCCAACATGACTAATAATCCAAGGAGAAATGGTCCCAGTGACCACTCTGTACTGGCTCTGCAAAAAGGATGATGTAACTTTTTTGAAGATGATGGAAATCCTGGATAAAACTCTCGCTGAAAACAGAGAATCACTAATAAATGCCTGCATAGCCATTTCTAATGTCTTCAAACAAACTGTACACGACACCAAGGTACAACCAGATGCGGAACAGAGCTCAGTGGCAGCGCACCGGAGCAGAGCGCGGAGTCGGGGACCCCTCGAGCAGAGCGCGGAGTCGGGGACCCCTCGAGCAGAGCGCGGAGTCGGGGACCCCTCGAGCAGAGCGCGGAGTCGGGGACCCCTCGAGCAGAGCGCGGAGTCGGGGACCCCTCGAGCAGAGCGCGGAGTCGGGGACCCCTCGAGCAGAGCGCGGAGTCGGGGACCCCTCGAGCAGAGCGCGGAGTCGGGGACCCCTCGAGCAGAGCGCGGAGTCGGGGACCCCTCGAGCAGAGCGCGGAGTCGGGGACCCCTCGAGCAGAGCGCGGAGTCGGGGACCCCTCGAGCAGAGCGCGGAGTCGGGGACCCCTCGAGCAGAGCGCGGAGTCGGGGACCCCTCGAGCAGAGCGCGGAGTCGGGGACCCCTCGAGCAGAGCGCGGAGTCGGGGACCCCTCGAGCAGAGCGCGGAGTCGGGGACCCCTCGAGCAGAGCGCGGAGTCGGGGACCCCTCGAGCAGAGCGCGGAGTCGGGGACCCCTCGAGCAGAGCGCGGAGTCGGGGACCCCTCGAGCAGAGCGCGGAGTCGGGGACCCCTCGAGCAGAGCGCGGAGTCGGGGACCCCTCGAGCAGAGCGCGGAGTCGGGGACCCCTCGAGCAGAGCGCGGAGTCGGGGACCCCTCGAGCAGAGCGCGGAGTCGGGGACCCCTCGAGCAGAGCGCGGAGTCGGGGACCCCTCGAGCAGAGCGCGGAGTCGGGGACCCCTCGAGCAGAGCGCGGAGTCGGGGACCCCTCGAGCAGAGCGCGGAGTCGGGGACCCCTCGAGCAGAGCGCGGAGTCGGGGACCCCTCGAGCAGAGCGCGGAGTCGGGGACCCCTCGAGCAGAGCGCGGAGTCGGGGACCCCTCGAGCAGAGCGCGGAGTCGGGGACCCCTCGAGCAGAGCGCGGAGTCGGGGACCCCTCGAGCAGAGCGCGGAGTCGGGGACCCCTCGAGCAGAGCGCGGAGTCGGGGACCCCTCGAGCAGAGCGGGGAGTCGGGGACCCCTCGAGCAGAGCGCGGAGTCGGGGACCCCTCGAGCAGAGCGCGGTGTCGCGGGCGCCTTGAGCAGAGTGCGGTGTCACTGGCACCTGAGCAGAGCGAGGTGTCGATGGCACCTGAGCAGAGCGCGGTGTCGCGGGCACCTGAGCAGAGCGCGGTGTCGATGGCACCTGAGCAGAGCGCGGTGTCGCGGGCACCTGAGCAGAGCGCGGTGTCGATGGCACCTGAGCAGAGCGCGGTGTCGCAGGCCCCAGTGCAGAGCACAGTGTCTGGGACGCTGCAACAGAGTGCGGTCCCTGGCAAAGGAAAACAAACAAAACAAGGACCCAAAATCTGTTGGTATTACAAATGGGGTATCTGTAAACACGGGATATCGGGAAGAACAAATGGAACATATAAGTACGATCACCCTAGAAAGTGCAGAAACCTCCTCAATACAGATAAATGTACCAAAAGCTGTGAATTATTTCACCCAGAAATTTTGCAAGAACTCTTTAGACAGGAAAGAGTGCTTCAATGCTGAATGTCCAGTTTTTCACATAAGAGGTACCAGGGGAATAAAACCGACAGACCGCCACTATGAAAACAGCCACAACTCCATCGACCGGGATAATTTTTTAGCAAGGAGGAGAAGAATGGCTAAAAATGACCAGACTCTACCACCAACTCGGTCAAATGCTAGAGAGGACGCAAACACAGTGGCCTCCTTACCAGAGCCTCAGATATTAACACCAAGTAAAGCATCCAGCACTTCCACTAACACGATAACATCATTTATATTTGCCAACATCCAGGGTATAAAAACACGCAAATTCAACAAAGTTCATTTTATAGATGGTCTCCATGAGGCAAATGCAGTGTTTACAGCCCTAATGGAAACTCACACAAAGGACTACCATGATTGTGAAATATGGATTTCAGAGTACAATTTTTTCAGATTTAATAGGAAACACCGGCTACAGGGTGGGGTCAGCCTCTACATCAAAGACACACTCATCTGTACTGAGCTGCTAAACACCTCAAATGATATGGTGGGAGTGCTGATAATCAAAATAGAAATCCTAAATGTAGTTATTGTCCTTGTATACAAGTCACCGGAGGCAAACCCTCAGCAGTTTAAAGACCAACTAATGAAAATAGAACACTGCTTGGAAAACCTCACAAATCCAGCCCCGATCATCATCCTGCTTGGGGACTTCCATTTCAGGTGCTGTAGGTTGAAGCACCTGGCTAATACAGTAATATCAGAAAGACTACCAGGAAGTAGCCTAAATGAACAGGCACATGCAAATGACCTGCTACGGATGTGCGACAGGTTTGCCTTAAACCAGCAAATAGTAGAACAAACTAGGAAGGAGAACACGCTGGACCTCATTTTCACTAATAATGATGAATTGATCAGAAACAATGATTAAAAATACCTATTACTGTACCAATGACGATACTTTTCAAAACGTTTGTGCTCTCTAGAGTGGAGTACTGCTGCACAATGACAGCTCCTTTCAAAGCAGGAGAAATTACTGACCTGGAGAGCGTGCAGAGATCCTTTACTGCTAGAATCCACTCGGTAAAACATCTAAACTGCTGGGACCGATTAAAAGAGCCTAAATCTGTATTCCCTCGAGTGCAGGCGGGAGAGATACATAATAATCTACAGTATACGTGGAAAATAATTGAGGGGCTGGTCCCAAACCTGCACACAGAAATAACATCACATGAGACCAGAAGGCATGGCAGGATGTGCAGAATACCCCCGTTGAAAAGCAGAGGTGCAACAGGTACCGAGAGGGAACTATGAACATCAGAGGCCCGAGACTGTTCAACACGCTTCCACTACACATAAGGGGCATAACTGGCAGATCCCTCACAGTGTTCAAGAGAGAACTTGACAAACACCTCCAAAGGATACCTGATCAACCAGGCTTTGACTCGTACGTCAGGCTACGAGCAGCCGCGTCCAACAGCCTGGTTGATCAGTCCAGCAACCAGGAGGCCTGGTCGACGACCGGGTCGCGGGGACGCTAAGCCCCGGAAGCACCTCAAGGTAACCTCGAGGTAAGGTGGTGGTGGTTTCATGTGTGGGTACCTGCTTGATGGGGTTCTGGGAGTTGTTCTACTCCCCAAGCCCAGCCTGAGGCCAGGCTTGACGTGTGAGTTTGGTCCACCAGGCTGTTGGTGGGAGCGGCCCACAGGCCCACATACCCATCACAGCCCGGCACGCTATTTAGAAATGTATACTTGCACTATATACTATATGCACTATACTTGCAGGCTTATCTAACAGTGACAACAAGAAAGTAGTCTGGCTTTTTGTACTTTTCCTACTAGCCTTACAGTGCCTGGTGATGCTTATTCTAACTTTCCTAACATATTCTGGCCTTAAAGTTGTGGATGGAGGTGGCATCCACAACTTCAGTGCATTCCAGATGTTGGCCACTCGAAGAGGATACAACTATTTCCATTACATTAACAAAAAAAAAAAAAAAAGGTATTTTCAGTTACTACTAGTTCACCTGTATTTCCCACCAATTTAATAATGCTATACTTGTCTATTGAACTAAAGATTTTGTAGTGATCATTGCCTCTCTGGTTCTGCATTTCTCTAGATTTGTAAGAATTAGTTCCATTAGTCTGTGTGTATTTTAATCCTATCAGTTCGAGATAGTAACCTTGTTGCAAAGATCTGACCTTTCAATCTTTATTTTGTGCTTACCAAAATAAAGATTTCAAATCAGTGCTGCATGATCTGACACGAGCTATACAGATTGCTCTAAAAGACTTCATTATTAGTTTTTTAATGCTATTCGTACATATACAGGTTTCTCATGTGCTATGTTATTCTACCTACATACACTTCGTGTCAGAGCTAGTATAATGCCTTCTCTCAAGTCCTCCTCTCATTCTGTACATATTCTTGCCATCTCTGATGGTATAATTGCCTTCTGTTCTTCTCTTTCCTATTCCCATCTTCATGGGAAAGTGAGATAGAAGACCATAAGAAATCTACACCACTGGGAAAAAGGCATCTACAAGAATTGGGAGAAAACAGGACTCAAGTTAAAATAATTCCAAAGCTAAACTAAAAATGTGCAAGAGAACATGAGAATTATTTAAAAATCTAAAAAGTACATTTCCAATATCATATGTAGTCTCCAAGACCATCAGTATTGCATGCTGCACATTTAGGAAAACAGCAATCGTGTGAAAAACAAACTGTAAAAAATGCAGAATTACAAGACTAATGCTGTAATTAAATTGAGTGTACAAAGCTATGAAGCTACATTAAGAGAACTTGGTCAAACATCCCTTAAGAAGAGCAAAAGAAACAAGACCACCACAAATAAGATGCAGAGTGAAAAATACAAAGTGAACAGGAACAGCATGTTGACCAGACCACACACTAGAAGGTGAAGGGACGACGACGTTTCGGTCCGTCCTGGACCATTCTCAAGTCGACTTGAGAATGGTCCAGGACGGACCAAAACGTTGTCGTCCCTTCACCTTCTAGTGTGTGGTGGTCAACATACTTTAGCCACGTTATTGTGACTCATCGCCTGCATAGGAACAGCATCTTTAAATCAAGAGAAAATAGGGGTGAGGATATCAGGGAAAGCTGAAAATACATGACAAATGTAAAGAAAAGCCTATACATTAAATTGGTGGGCATCAAACAGAATGCACTGAAAGTGTAATTTTAGCTTTTTATTAATTTCTTTGTAAATGTTCATTCTTTATTTGCTACTAGCAGTACCCAGCCACAGCAACCTTCCCTGTCCCCCAGTCCTCCCCACCATTTCCCCCTCACCTGTCCCCTCGGCCTCCCAACCATTCCCCACTCCACCGTCCCCTCGTCCTCCGCACCATTCCCAACTCCATCCCCTCTACCTTCCCATCATGCCCCACTCCCCTGTCCCTTTGTCCTCCCCACCATTCTCCATTCCCCCATCCCAAACTCCCCCGTCCCCTTCTCCTTCCCCACCATTACCCCCTCCCTTGTCCCCTCGTCCTCCGTCCCCTCGTCATCCCCACCATTCCCCACTCCCTCGTCCGATGCCTTCCCAAATGGTCTGATGTTCCCATCAGAAAATTGGGAACATCAAGTGATCTGATGTTCCCATCACTGAAAAATAAGTTAAAAAATTAAATGAAAATATGAAAAAATAAAAAAACTATACTCACGAAATGAACGGTATGGTAAATAACACAGCTCAATTCCAACGCAATTCACACAAAATAATTAAATCAAAATGAAAATAAATCAAAATCAATGAAAATTAAATTTATCAATGCAATCGGAAACATTGAAATGAAATCGTGACATATTTAGTATAGCGCGCATGTTGCTATTATGTGCAACAGATGGCGCTGTTTTTCAAAAACCCATGTTTTTACCTGTCACAGGGGTGGCATCTATATACTGTAGTAGGTATATAAAAAGACGCGCCTATTCGAATGCAACAGTGTGTAAATTTCAAACCAATCGGTGAAGAACTTTCGGAGATTACAGCGTGTGCTGCTCTTATATCAAACAGATGGTGCCGTTTGTCAAAAAAGCATGTTTTTTCCTGTCACAGGTGAGGCACGTATATAGTAGATATAAAAAGACGCGCCTATTCGAATGTAACGTTGTGCCAAAATTTCAATGCAATCGGTAAAGAGGTTTCGAAGATTTCCCTCCCATGAAAAACAGTTTTTCAAACAGCATGTTTTTTTTACCATCACAGACGTGACATCTATATAAAATGTATATAAAAACCTGGCCGGATGAGAATGGAACGTTGTGAAAATTTCAAAGCAATCGGTGAAGAACTTTCAGGAGATTAACGGTTATGCACAAACGAACATTTCTATTTTTATTTATATAGATTGTTTGTAAAAATTTAGTCGAGTATGAGAGAGAATGTTTAATGATTGTAGGGTACCATTCCTATGCTTGTGTAGCCTCTCTCCGCCCTTCACCACACACAAGAGCAGTCGCTTCTGCCCATGGGTGGTAGTGCATTTTGAACTGCGCACTGAGGTGTTTAGCAAAGAGAACTGTACATTATTTGGGGCGTGATAAGTTTTACCTCTTGCACGTTTCCTGTCGTGAGTTTAAACAAATACAGTGTACGTTAACGGCTGCATATAGCTTGTTTGTTTGAATACCTCAATTCAAAAATAGTTGTGGGGAGTGCACTTCAAATTCCTCTTACATTTAAGTGCCATTTTTAATTAAATAACCTTAATTTATGAGTAAGGAATTCCCTACCCATACAAAAAGAGCAGCATCAAACACAGTGTCAAGTGATATAATAGGCATTCAGATACAAAAGACTAGGTGGGGTATAAAGAGCTACATCTTAGTTCCTTGTTACCCATGCTAAGTAAGCACTTGAAATTCTGATAACAGTTCTTAAATCACGTCTATACTTATGACCACCCAATTTCCCACATTTCTTTTGTAATTTTTTACTTTTATATTCTTTACAATTTATACCCAAATCTTCATTAATTCACAATTTGCAACATTTGTCATCAGTGCTGAGATCTTGTATAAGAAAATAATTAAAATTAATAAATTTGGACACTGACACCAATGCAGTGTGTGGTTTACTTGACATTTTTGCTACTTGAAGTTCAGTTGAAAGATTTTCTATCGTAACTTACCTCCACTTTCACTGTAGTATTTCTAATATCATCTGTTGCCATGACTTCCATTTCATGACTGTGGTTTTGCACCGCTGTCTGTGTACCAACTACGGCCTGGTAAGTCCTTGTAGTAAACTGCTCCACTGTAGACTCCAAACTACAGCGTTCCTCTCCCAAGTGCTGAACATCACTTTCCAGCTGTGACAAACAAAACAAGAGATTTTCTTTAAATGTATGTGTATTACTGTGGTTAATCCTTAACCCCTGCACGGCACACCTGTTTTGGGCAAAAACTTCATAGTGCAATTGCTAAGGACATTTTTGTTATTTTTATAAATGTTCAGGTAAAGTTAATGTCAAAATGTTTCCAAACTCCACTATTTTCATTTCAAATCACAAAGATTGCTGAAAACAAAAACATTAAAATATAGCCTAATTAAAAAAAAAAAAGCACAACTCTCAAGAGTGCTTTAAGGGGCCTGGTGCATGTAGAAACTTTTCAAAATATGACATGTAGTGAAAAATGTTAAACAAATCTCCCATTATTTGGCATCAGTGCCATGAAAATTTCATCCCAATATGTTAAAAAATGGAGTTTATACGAAATTTAAAAAAAGATAAATGCGTGTGCAACGGGAAGCAACTGTAACTGATGATAACGATAACAGCTCCAATTTACTGGCAATCAGGAATAAAGCAATGCAAGCACCTGTCCGACACACAAAGACGACAAGTAGTAGTAAGGAGGGTCTACAAAATGGATATGCCGCTAGTGCCACCTGGAGGACCAGATTTCACACATAATTATGAGCTAGTATGTTGTTATGCTGTATTCTATTATGTGTCATATAATACATTGCCCAATGGCAATATTTCTTATGTCCCTTTGTACAAAAAGGTGAAAACCACTTTTTTTCTTTTCATGGTATGATGTTGATCCATAATTAAAAGTTGGAGCATTTACCATGGAGATTATGAAAAAAAATTGAGTGTGAGGAAGTTTCAGTGCACATGCAAGGGGCCTCTTAAGGTGCTCAGAGCATTTGAGTGGTTAAGAAACCTATCTAATTCTTTTTAAAATATGTTAAGTAAATGAGTTAAGATAACATCTCTTCTGGAAGATTACTGATAACAGTTGATAGTGTGATAAAAGACAATCCCAGTAGATAATCAAAACTGAAATGAAGGTGTCTTTCCTTTTAAGAAACAGAAAAGAAAACATCCCTTGTTTTGGAGTTAAACACCTTACTAAATCTATTTACTACCAACGTAATGTATTGGGAAACAAGATAGTGATTTTAATTTGAAATAAAACTTTAGATTCCCTATCTAAACAAAATGAAAATTTACACTTGATAATGGTTTATTAAACATTAATTTAGATGAATTCCAAATGTTAAAAAGGATTGGGTATAAATTTATTATTGTAAATATATAAATTTGGCCTGCAAGACAAGCTTACTTCATGAAATCATGAAAAGTATCCAGCAAAACATACTTACAGTCATAAATCATACATTTAATTAACAATTTCTTTTCAAATGGCAATGTTGCTTATGCCAGTATAGTTGATGTAATCGTAATTACATCTAAAATAATTGCTTGATAGTCCAATCTTATTTACATAAACTTAGCAGACAACTAAAAGGTACAGTATTTGCCTGCAAACAGACCTGGTTGAGTAGTAGTTCCATGGCGACTTGCAACTCACTCTTAAGACTGTGTGTAGTCGATGCATGACTCGCACACTCGCTGTCAATGTTCTTAACCAGTGTTTTCATGGTGCTATTGGTGGCCTGTGTGTTTTCATGTGCCAAGTTCAGGTTTGAGCGTATATCTGTCAATCCATTATTGCTCGTGACAGCGAATGTCTGAACATCACGTTGTACATCTGCCAAAGTCGTTGCTAATGTGTCAATAGTAGAAGACATGCGCTGGAAATAAGGAAAGACCATGAGTAACTTTCATTTACTCTCAGAGTAAATGAAGTAAATGAAGGAGCATGGAGTGTATTGACTCCATGCCCCTTCTCTAATAAGTGTGATATTTCTACAAGTTGACAAGATTATAGATACTTAAGATCTTCATCTCACCAATAGACTCGCTAACACACAGCACAATTAACTCATTTCAAAGTGATTGATACTATTCTTAATGGCAAATCATTCAAATAAATTCTACATAATAACTTGAGCTTATTTGTTACCGAAATCTGCATTCTTTGTACATTCTTTTTTCTCAATGCAGTCAACATAACTATTCCTTAAAAGAACAAATCCACAAGGGCCGTGACGAGGGGTTCGAACCTATGTCCGAGAACATCCTAGAAGGTGGCCTGGGGTCATACTTTATTCCTTAAAATATAAATTTGTACATTTAGACATTCAATGTCAGAAGGACACACACATGGCCAAACATGAAAGATACGAGACTTATTCCAAAATTAGTCTTCTGAAAAAGAGAGCTTGAGATCTTGAGACGATTTCGGGGCTTTTCTAGTGTCCCCGCGGCCCGGTCCTCGACCAGGCCTCCACCCCCAGGAAGCAGCCCGTGACAGCTGACCAACTCCCAGGTACCTATTTACTGCTAGGTAACAGGGGCATTCAGGGTGAAAGAAACTTTGCCCATTTGTTTCTGCCTCGTGCGGGAATCGAACCCGCGCCACAGAACTACGAGTCCTGCGCGCTATCCACCAGGCTACGAGGCCCCATGTACAATTACAGGTACAATTATATTCTCCCAAGAGAATCATTTTATTTACTTGGTTAAGCCAAACACTCAGCAAAGCATGCATTTTTTTTTTTTAAAGTGAGCCAACAAACTTTTCTTTCATTAACAGCAATTATGACTTTATTTTGACCTGTTTACCTTATTTTAAATATTCCACCCATTTTCAAACCTCCCACAAACCACTTTCCATGTCATGCAAACATTTCCTGGTTGAAAAAGTGCAGCTGCTTGACATATGACAGTACAGTGAGTGAGTGAGTGAGTGTATATATATATATATGTCGTACCTAGTAGCCAGAACGCACTTCTCAGCCTACTATGCAAGGCCCGATTTGCCTAATAAGCCAAGTTTTCATGAATTAATGTTTTTTCGACTACCTAACCTATAAAGATAGATTAGGTTAGGTTAGGTAGGGTTGGTTACGTTCGGCCATATATCTACGTTATTTTTAACTCCAATAAAAAAAAAAATTGACCTCATACATAATGAAATGGGTAGCTTTATCATTTCATAAAAAAAATTAGAGAAAATATATTAATTCAGGGAAACTCGGCTTATTAGGCAAATTGGGCCTTGCATAGTAGGCCAAGAAGTGCGTTCTGGCTACTAGGTACGACACACACACACACACAAAATAAAAACTTATTTGTCAATGTTAAAATGTTTGGAGTTGTTTGGAGTCAACGTTCACTATCCTGATGCTAAATAAAAAAAATCCAAATAAATTATTCACAATACAAGCTAAAATACTGTCTCACACCTGTGAATGAGCTTCTGTAGATGCTAATAAATTAGTCACAGTATCAAGGCAGGTGGTGATGCGGTTGGTGTGGTCTTCCACATGGTCAGTCATCTCTTTTTCCAACTTGCCAACAAGTTTGGATTGTTGTTGATGAAAACTTTCACATCCTTCATCCATGGCAGATAACTGTGAATCAGAAAATGAAATGTAGTAATTAATTAATACATCCAATGGAGAGAACATCTTTGCACTTTTGTTGCTAAAACCATCCCTGAAAGTTTTCATGTAAGTCTAAGCATTGTGCAGATACCATCTCTGGATGAAGAGACCCTTGGGAAACTGTACAGAATTTCATCAAATGCTTGGCTTGGTTTCCAACTGCCAGGTGTTTCTAGAGACGGTGGCCATGCTATGAAAAATTATTTAAGCCCCTCAGTTCCCAGATATACTGTAGAGAGAACATCACCTGGCGGTGCATCACATGATGACATCGACAGATCCTCTCACAAGATAGTCATCAATCATTCAATGATATTTCTGGTTCTTCAATTAATTGTGATGACAGTAGGTGGTCTCTGAATGAACTTGAAAAAACAGTGGACATCTTTTTGAATGGAAGCAAATGATCCTGATGGTGACGAGGAATTGGCCATGTCATCTACATATTTATGTTCCCATACTGAAACTAGGAAGACTAACACCCCCTTTACCTCACTTGTACTCTACACTTTTTAATAAATTCACATTAACTTTAAAAATTGTCTAATACATTTTTGGAAGACAGGAGGGGATATGGGTGATGCTGACAGCAGGCAACACTCCCAAGGTGGCCAAGAAGTAATTTCTACTTTATTTCATCATAATTTACATATGACTTTCTATGGATAGTACTAAAAATTTAATTTTTCTTATTTTGTTGGCAGACTCAACGGAGGGAGGGAGGGAGGGAAGAACCCCCTTCTCAGCCCCCATATACAAATTACTGTTGTGACGATAATCTCTTTCAAGAGAGATTGAGCCTGCTCTTCCCTCCAAAGTACGTCCCATTAACAAATAATATAGAAGATATATCCAACAAGTATCACCAAAACATTTTGCCCAGAGAGCAAAACGTATCCAGCCCACCGGCGCACCTGCTCGCCTCCGCCACCGTTAACCGGCAAACTGCTTGTCCATCGCCTGCCTGTCGCTGATTGGCTGGTGCCCGTCGCACCTGCCCCACCACCACGAGCTGATGTCTGAGCTACAGCGACCTAGGGAAGGCAGAATATCCTAGTGCTCCACACGGTTGACACGTCTCATTGGTAGACCAAGCCTTGGCTTACGTGTACTAAGGGAGGTGGCAGCTTGAAGCCAATATTCCTGCATCATCATTTACTTTGCTATTATTCACTTGTCTTAACGTAACTTCATTTGCCAGTGATTATTCTTATTATTTTGTTTGTCGATTTGCCTGTTACATTTTTATGCTCAATTTTATTCATGTCTTGCTTTTCTAACGTAATTAAAATTTCATTGTTAAATTTACTTGTGTTTTGTGTGTCTTCCCATTACCTTACCACAGACGAAAGTTCCAGCTTTTCTCTTTTTTTTTCTTTATGTGACGAGGCCATGCCCCTATCTTTTGAAACAGCCGAACACCAACGCGTTACCGTCACACTGTATATTAAATTGCTTTAACTAACTTTTTTTTTATCTAAAATATTTTTGGAGGTAACTTCTCCTTTTTCAAACTTCCATAGCCAATCTTCAACACCTATAATTTTGTCCTTGTTTATTCTGAACTCTAAATTTGCTTCCCATAAAATCTTAAGAACAAAAGGTTTAAAGTCGTACTAGACAATAACTAGTCATTTTATTGGCAAGCATGTCTAAGAAAGGAACAAATCCACCAATTCTAACCAACTAACCTTGCTGTTTAGTACAGAATGAAGATTATGGATAGTAGTGGCGTGGGATGATATTAATGAGGCTAATTTATCCAAGATGGGCAGGGCTTCATTTTTCTGGAAAGTGTGAAGAGATGACTTTTGCTGATCACAGTCTTCACACACACGATCATTCATTGCTCGGGAAGATGCCACTTGTGCTTCAACCTGAAATAGTTTTAAACAAAAATGTATTATTGCAATAATTAGGTATTCTCATTCTATTGAAATGACAAAGATCTCATTACTTCATATTGTAACAAGACTGGACTCAGGTGACAGCAGAATCACTAATCCCCCATGACAGGTACATCCTTCAAATAAAAAAAAAAATTACCCGCTTCCTCTCTTTCACCAACATACTGAACTCCTTAAATGGACAATTTCCTGCTAAACCTCACCCCCCCCATTCTGCCACTATACTCGGAATTCTGTTTTATCTGAATGTTCGTTATTTTGTTTAATGGTTATTATTGCTGTAAACAGAAAAATCTTACACATTTTGATTCCTTAAATCACTTACAAAAGATGCGTTACATATTTTGTTATTTTTCTGGGTATTGTATTCTGTTGTGTTAAATGTAGGGCTTGCACCAGAAGACTCATTTCCATTGCAAATAAATATAATAATCATACTAGCAGAAAATATATTTTTATTAGTATTTTTAATGTTTTTACATGTTTGTTTTCAAGTGCACAATGATGCATTGGCCTGTCAATTATTATATTTATATCACTGAATGTGAAGTATATAAGAATGAACAGAATGAAAAGACAAATTAACAATACTTAATGAATAAGTATTGTGTCACCGATATGAACACAATACAATGGGGCCTCGACTTACGATGCTAATCTGTTCCCAGAGACGGATCGTAAGTCAAAATATCTTAAGTCGAAGTAATTTTTCCCATAAAAAATAAATGGATTTGAATTAATCCATTCCCTGCCCTCCAAAATATTAACATACAAATACATTTTATACTGAATACAATGTTTTTTTCTAACTACAATACAGTACCTAAGTTTATCTTACCTTTATGGAGGGCTCTTGATGGCATATGGAAGATGGTGATGAGGGGGGAGAAGGAGAGTTGTTACTGTTTGGAAGAAGAGTCCTTCCATTATTACATCAGGCAGTGATGTTTTCTCTGAGGTACTCTCCTACATTTTGCCTTAATACCACTAGGACCTGGTTGTGGTTCAGTGCTTGTTTGTCTCACTACAAATTTGTCAAGAGACATTTGTCTGTAATGATGCATCACTTTAGCTTAGCACCCATAATGTCCTTTTTCTTAGCCAGTATGGTGGATATTGTTGACTGTTTACTATTGTTGACTGAGATTTGTTGTACTGCCTAGCCAGTCCAACAACCTGCACACCATCTTCATATTAACGAATGATCTCTTGTTTCTGCTCTATGGTCATCCTTACATTGGATCTCATATGTTGAGCCTTACCACTGACTTTCCTGGAACTCATGGCATGATATATAATAATTACTTGAATGTTCAAAGCGCAAAAAATCACCACAAAAGCGAAATTTCTTATAGGCGCGATCGTCACTAAGCGGGCAGCTGTAGTTAACTGAGGCAGGTCGGCCGCGTGACCGGGAACCACTCGCTCGGTCGACCCGAACGTGTACCAACAAATATCTTAAGTTGACGACACCATCGGATGTCAAGTCGAATTTTTCAATGAAATTTACATCGTAATTCAAAATTATCGTAAGTAGGGGCAATCGTAAGTCGAGGTGCCACTGTACTATATTCTTTGAACAACAAACTTTTTGCCATTACATATATTAGACAATATACACATATTCAACTATCTACATCTTTATGCACTATGAACCACTAAGCAGTTGTGGTGGGTGTGGTAATCTCATAGCCATTGATCATTCAGCCTAGCCATATATTTATTTTCCACAAAGTTGTAACTGCACGCATTGAACACAATATTTTTAAATTTTTAATGTTTTTACTATGTTTTTTTTCAAGTACAATGATTCATTGGGCTGTCATTATTATTTATATCAATTATCATTTAGAAAGTGTAGAATATAGGTATGCACAAATATATGTGCAACACTAATATAAGCACATTATATCCTTTGATAAATAAAACTATTTTTTGTTATTACATTACATACAAACATATATAACTACCTACATTTTTATGCATCATAATGAGAGTGGTAATCTTGTAATCCATATAGCATAGCACCACACACTGGTCAGTTGTTTATGGCACCTGACAGCAAAATGCCTCCAAAAATACTATGAACATTACTAACTTTAGGAACAACACTATTATCAGAATCCTGGATATGAATTATTTTCCACAAGTTTCCTAAAGAAATATGAGCTTTCATTTCATGATCCTTAGATGCACCAAACTGTAGCTGTGTGCTTTATGCTGTGATGATCATAACCAGCATTGGGTTCACTGATATTCGAACCATGTAAATAGTTTTCATCAGCCAGGATATTGTGTGATACCATCATTGTTAAATCATCACAGTTATTATTTATTTCATCATCATTAAGTGATGCTGTTCGCACGAGGTGCATGGCAGGGCTGTGTGCAAGCACTGTTCATGGTTGCTTTCAGTACTGAGGCCCCCCTCACACCTTTGTTTTTTGCAAGATGGCATCAGTTTACAGGAAGCCTGGGGAAGCAGATGTGAGCTCCATGTACCCACGGGCAGTTTTAAATCTTGCCCAGTATTGTTTACTATGAACATTACTAACTTTAGGAACAACACTATTATCAGAATCCTGGATATGAATTATTTTCCACAAGTTTCCTAAAGAAATATGAGCTTTCATTTCATGATCCTTAGATGCACCAAACTGTAGCTGTGTGCTTTATGCTGTGATCATCATAACCAGCATTGGGTTCACTGATATTCGAACCATGTAAATAGTTTTCATCAGCCAGGATATTGTGTGATACCATCATTGTTAAATCATCACAGTTATTATTTATTTCATCATCATTAAGTGATGCTGTTCGCACGAGGTGCATGGCAGGGCTGTGTGCAAGCACTGTTCATGGTTGCTTTCAGTACTGAGGCCCCCCTCACACCTTTGTTTTTTGCAAGATGGCATCAGTTTACAGGAAGCCTGGGGAAGCAGATGTGAGCTCCATGTACCCACGGGCAGTTTTAAATCTTGCCCAGTATTGTTTACTATGAACATTACTAACTTTAGGAACAACACTATTATCAGAATCCTGGATATGAATTATTTTCCACAAGTTTCCTAAAGAAATATGAGCTTTCATTTCATGATCCTTAGATGCACCAAACTGTAGCTGTGTGCTTTATGCTGTGATCATCATAACCAGCATTGGGTTCACTGATATTCGAACCATGTAAATAGTTTTCATCAGCCAGGATATTGTGTGATACCATCATTGTTAAATCATCACGGTTATTATTTATTTCATCATCATTAAGTGATGCTGTTCGCACGAGGTGCATGGCAGGGCTGTGTGCAAGCACTGTTCATGGTTGCTTTCAGTACTGAGGCCCCCCTCACACCTTTGTTTTTTGCAAGATGGCATCAGTTTACAGGAAGCCTGGGGAAGCAGATGTGAGCTCCATGTACCCACGGGCAGTTTTAAATCTTGCCCAGTATTGTACTCTAAAACATTTCTGATTGTGTCGTGCAGTTTACAGATATTTGTTGAGAATATCCGTGTGTGTGTCGTGCAGTTGAAGGGTTAAAATATAAATTATTAAAGGGAAAACTACTGATCAATACGGTATTACAATACTCACCTTGTTTTTGTACAGAGTCAGGAAAGTATTGACAAGAGATGCCTGATTCTCCCCAAGGGTTGTCAACTGGCTGCTTATTTCTGACACCTCCTTTCTGCATTGTTTGACACAATTACCTAGTTTACACAAGAAAACAATCATGAACACAATTATTTCTGCTGTACTCAGTTTCTGGCATTCAGAGTAAATATGCACATGTCAATGAAATTTAGACACAGTAATAACCATCAAAGAAATTACTAGTATCAATAGGTTAAAAACAAAAATAATAGCTTTAATTGGTTTTCTCCTTAATTACCTTTTACATCTTTACTTTATCCTACATCTTTATGTAAACCTCAAGCTTTTCACATTCTAATTTTTTTATATGCAGGTACATGTTACAACTTCATAAATGGCTCATAACTTGATGGCACAAAGCCTCAAACCAAAAAAAAAATTTTCAACAAATACTGAAGAGTAGTGTATACAAGAGTAAACACTGAGTGAAAGAATAATCAGGGTTTGAGTGCTCCCTGGCAAGATCCTGCTGCACAGTCAAGGCAGCAGGTAGAGAATCTGCGCCATTGTGACCCACTGGTGCACAGCACACTAGAGAATACTACAAGACATTCAAATACAATCAAGCTCTTTCAATCACTACTTGACATCATGGGGACAATCATGAAGCACTCACCACTAACATTGACTATCACCAAGTGGCAACACAAAGATGTAAATGGGCTTGCCGACTGCTTTATTCATATTTAACCTCAAATGGGGTAATATGCACATAAATCTCAATTTCTGATCTATACAATGCGGTCGCTGCAATATGGAGTGATTGGATGGAGATAGCAAATACAAAGCGACCACAGTGGCGAACCTTTATAGGTCCTAGGCATGGATATAATCTTGTCACTGACACCGTAACACACTGCACAGTAACTAGAAAAATTTGGTCTTTATACAAGGACCCAATGGCTTAGGAATTCAGAAAAAAGGGTCTCTGAAGTATAGATCTTTGAAACCTCATGGTAATAGAGAGATGATGATGCACCAACATATGAAAACACAAAAGCAAGACGCATGCCCGTTTCAATATCAACAATGGACGAGGCATAAGAATAGACACAAAAGTGACCCCAACCACCCTGACCAACAAGATGAAATTAGGGGTCACAGGAAATGCTTAACATGTTGTATATTCAGTCTCAAGCCCCTTAACCTTCCAGGTTACCCAATTTAAGAAACCCATAAATGTGAAGTGATGTGAGGACTAAAATCTAAGTAATCAAGGAAAGGGTCAAACACCATAAAAAGGGACCAGAAACACACACACAGGACACAGATGGAAACTTAGTACCCAGATGAGCCAGAGACATTCGAAAGAATTTTTTCAGTGTCAGTAGTTAAATGGAATGCATTAAGTAGTGATGTGGTGGTAGCAGACTCCATACACAGTTTCAAATGTAGATATGATAAAGCCCAGTAGGCTCAGGAATCTGTACACCAGTTGATTGACAGTTGAGAGGCGGGACCAAAGAGCCAGAGCTCAACCCCCGCAAGCACAACTAGGTGAGCGCGCGCGCACAGTATGAAGCCAGAGTCGGCACATAGGATATCCCCCACACACAACCTAACAGCAGCTAACCCTCACTTTCTGAAATCATCGAAGGTTCATGACAGGGTAAGATAGAAGAGAGAAAATTAGGAGTTATTACATACAAAATGTCAAACATTTTCTTCTGCATCAAAAGCTACTGCTACCTAGCCTTGTCCTCTGTCTATTCTCATGCACTGACCACACTCAAACCCGACTTCCACAAACATTTGTCCACTATGTCTGCCCATCTGCTTGGCCTACCTCTCATCAAATTCATACAAATTCTATCAAACAGTTTATCATCATTTTTCCCTTTCAATACAGTGTAATATGATACAGAACTTACCAAACTGGGAAGCAATATTGTGAACAGCATCACTCTGCTGGCTAACGGTGGAGGCCAGATCTGCTCGCATTGCTTCTACGCAATTTATGTATGTCTGCTGGAACTCTTCACATGTGTCTTTATTTCTAGTTTCAACTCGTCTATAAAAAAAAAAAAAATTATAAACTGCATACTAACCAAGTATATATAAATAAATACATGCATATACAGTGGCACCTTCAAAATCAGGGATCACACTGGGCTGGACCATATCCAATTATTCAGCAAATCCAGATTTCTGGAAACTTGCTCTTTTCAGCTATTTGTTACTGAATAGCTGAATTTTTGCAGATTTTTCTTATAACAAGCAACTAAATAAATTTTCATGCATATTAAGGCATCCAATGAATGAAGATTTTGTGTGCATAAAAATAATACTAGGCAGCAAAATGCAGATATAGCACTATGCCAGCCAGGATAGTGTTGCAAAAATCACTAGCAAACAGCAGCATTCATATCTTCATGCTTAGAAGGTGTCACTGTTTTTGTCTCTTGTCTTTTTTCCTCTGCTCTTCATATTATTCACAAACTATATAATCTACTTTAATTGCTTTTCTTTTAGCAGAATCAGCACTAGTACCAATGCAATACTCTTCTACCAGTCACTTTCCTCCCCAGCTATGATAATGCTTTCTAATAACTCTGCCTTATTGCTCATGGTAAGGAAGTTACTCCTACCTTTGTCTGATATACAGTACTGTACCTATATATGAGAGCTACTTTTGCCACATGACAGCTTCAGCTTGCAAACAATACACATGACAACCCAGTGAAAATTCTTGCACAACAAGAGACCAGGCCATCCTCACACAAGGAAATCGCAATGCTTGCCCTAATAAATGGTCGTTATGATGAATAATATCTATAAATAAAAATGCACAATTAGCAAAAATAAGAAAATCAACATTGATTGTAATGAAATGCCATTTTCTGGGCGAGACCCCCGGAGGCTTTCCGATGCTATCCAGGCTGATATGAAAGGTAAGCGCCCCAAAACAAACCCCCTTCTATTCTGGTTAAAATATTGCTACTGAAAGCTGAACTAGTGGACAGAACTCCCAAAATGAAAACAAGTAAACGAGCATGACGTCACAGCACCGCTGTCTGTGCAACCTCCCTACTTCCTGGGAGGGGGGAAGGGGGAATCCCCAGACCCCCATGCCAGCTAGCCACCCTGCAGTTCTGAGGCTGGATGTCAAAAAAAAAAAAAAAAAAAAAAAAAAACACACACACACACACAAAAACTGACCAGAGGGAGGTGGTTTGCCAGACACTTGCCTCTGGGTCTCGCCCAAAAAATGGCAATTCATTACATTCAATGCTGATTTTCTGGGGGTAGCCCCTTTGGCTTCCCGGAGCTACTTACCCATAAACAAAACAAAGAGACTTACCCAGGAGGCAGTCAGCTCTCGCTCCTCAACTCGAAGTCAAGACAACTGGCTGCATCCGCCGATCCAATGCAACACAGGCCCGACTAAGTCCAGGAACATTAACAAGGTAGCGAGCGACCAGGACCCTGTGCGATCTCCAAAAACCTCGTGTCCGAATGTCAGCCCAAGACATGTTACCGAAGACGTTGGTCAATGCAGCAAACTTACGAACGTCATGTGCACGAGGATAGGCCGCAGGCTGGCTGGACCGAATAACCCTGAGGACAACCTGGAAGACCCGAACCCTGGAGCAGGGAAAAAGGGAAATCGGTTCAACCCAAAGCGTGTTCCCCACCACCGAGGCTATGGCGCCCAGGTAACGGCGGAGAGCTGCAACCGAACAACACAAGATGCACCCCCAGCCTAACCAACCAAGCATCAACAACCCAAGAACACCTAAGGAAAGCAGCAGTCTCATTCTTCACCAGGCAAGGAGGCGGCGGTTGCAACCATACAAACCTACCACCAAGACCAATAGAGATGAAACCCCTGCGCCAGAATAGAGCATGAAGGTCCCCGACTCAACCCGCAGAGATCAATGCCAACAGGAAAAAGAGCTTTAGAAAAACAATCCTGAACCGAAGGGGCCACCACAAACCGAGGAAGAGAAAGGAAATCACTCTGTCCAACGACCAGGATGGTTCAGACGGCGCATGAACAGGCCGGAGGTGAAAACACACGAGACGGCTTACTGACCGGAGTAGAGGTAACATCAATACCAAACGCAAGCTGTAGCTGCTCTGCCAGCACCACACGATACGAGGTGACAGTATTTGGATAAGATGACAGTCCTTGAAGAACCATGAAAGGAAGGATAAAACAACCCTATCAGAGACAGTACTAAACCTACACAGGGATAAGAAATAATGGAAGGACCTCCAGGATACTTCATACTGCCATCGAGACAAAGCACGCAGGTGGGACACCATAAACAAAGCCACCTGCACACCATACAAGAGATGATAAACTTGAGTGAGAAAGCCCAGACACGAAGACTAGGAGGAGAAGAGCGAACCAGCCACGTAAAAAAAAAAAAAAAAAAAAAACCCTGAAACCAAGGCCACCAATAGACGATAGAAACCAATAGAAGACGCATCTGTGAACTCGTCGAGCAAGGGCTCGGGTTGGCACCAAGGCATTGAACCCCGAAAAACCCGAAGAGGAAGCCGGTGATGCAGCAACCGACGCAAGGCCCCTGGAGGCTGAACCCAGCGATCGCGAGAGAGGCAGAAGGGACGTCCCCGAAGGAACCAGAACAGCCGATGAAACCAAACCCATCCCGGCGGGTAGACCATCACGACAAAGCTCAGGCTCCCACACAAACCCTCGAGCAACTGCCAAGTGACCTGGGAGCCCCCCAGAAACAGGCGAAGGCAGGACTGCAGCCGAAGCAGAACCTCTAAAGGGAGAGACAAGAAAAGAGTCCGAGCATCCCACACAAGACCCAGCCAAGACCGAACCTGATGGGACTTCCTCCAGTTCACCCAGAGCTGAGAAAAAACAAATCCCAGGTGAGTAGACATGCGGACCGACTGGGAGCCCACACCAGCTAGTCGTCGAGATAGGCCAACACCCAAAGAGACGCAGACGGGCCGCCACGACCTGGGTAAGATGTATGAAAACGCGAGGTGCCACCCCGACGCCCCACAACAAAACCGAGCCAGTCCTTAAACCCTGGATGAATTGGGACGTGCCAATACACGTCCTTGAGGTCCAGGGACACCATCCAAGTGCCCGGCTCCAAGAGAAAACAGACCTGGGACAGTAGTCATCCGAAAGGAGGGGCAATAAACCCACGGGTTCAGACGGGACAAGTCCAGAATGAACCCAAGGTCCGCGCAGTGCCGTTTCGGAACAGGAAACAGGCAGGAAACGCACAGGAGGGTGAGGTTGTTTCTATCACGCCCAAGTGAACCCACTCTGAGATGACTTGACAGAGCACAGGAGAAAAAGCCTGCCCTTTCAACCTCGAACTTCCAAAGGAGGAAGGGCCACCCAACGCCACCACAGGCCGCACGAAACGACCTGAAAGGCCCACAAATCATGTGATGCGGTGTGGGCAAACAGCACAAGCCTTCCCCTCATCTCCCCGCCAAAGGGACAAACCGCGAAAGGGCCGACGTCCTTTACAGGAACCCAATCTCCGCGTAGAGCAACCAGAACGAAAACGGCTCTGAAACTGGCACCACGACGGGAGAAACCCCGAGCTCTGTCACGACCTTTCCGGGAAGAGCAAACGTCCCCCCCCCCTCCCCGGAAAACCAAGAAATCCGACATGGGACGGCATCTAGAAGCAGCTGCCTGCAGATACTGCACCACTGCAGATTTTGCAAGCAGCAATTGGCAAAAAAGCGAAGAAATCTTAAGAGCAAAGGGGCCCAAGCGGATTACACAGAGGAAGCAAGCACTGCCTGCCGACACGCGAGACAAAGCAAAACAGCGACACCGCATCCCGCAGGATTGCCGGGAACAGCTTCAAAAGAGCAGGGTGGATAGCTGGCACGGGGGTCTGGAGCTCTCCCTTCCAACTTCTGGGAAGGAGGGGGTTGTGCAGACAGCGATGCTGTTATGTTGTGACGTCATGCTTGTTTACTCATTTTCATTTGAGGAGTTCTATCCACTAGTTCGGCTTTCAGTAGCAATATTTTAACCAGAATAGGGGTTTGTTTTGAGGCGCTTACCTTTCCAGAAGCCTGACTCGGTCGATGGCAGACATAGAATGCTTCCAACCAGGGAGTTGGTCAACTAGGGAGCCGGTCGGCCAAGCGGACAGCACGCGGGACTTGTGATCCTGGGTTCGATCCCAGGCGCCGGTGAGAAACAATGGGCAGTTTCTTTCACCCTATGCCCCTGTTACCTAGCAGTAAAATAGGTACCTGGGAGTTAGTCAGCTGTCACGGGCTGCTTCCTGGGGGTGGAGGCCTGGTCGAGGACCGGGCCGCGGGGACACTAAAGCCCCGAAATCATCTCAAGATAACCTCAAGATAACCACACGGGTGTTTCTATTTAGTTTTTTAGTTTTTTTTTTTTTTACATGTTCATTTTACATTTACATGTTTACATGTTCAGGGAAGAGAATTTATAATTTTACAAGATCAAAATTTTTTTGGGCAAACACTTGATTTTCGGCACACGGGGAATGTCCCAATAAACGAAGCGCATCACAGTGGTTAAGAAGCATTTATTAATTATCTAAATGAAAATGCTCCTAGAAATTTGAATGGCATGTTAAACTTTCATCCACCTGTCAGCCATTTGCAATGAATGGATGACAACAAAACCATAGCGCTGCGATGGTACACCATGATCGGGTGTGCCGCCCTGGTCGCCTGTCGTGGTAACAAATCATCATATCCAGAAATACAAGTTTCACATCCTGTATAGCAATTCTCTTGCCCAAAATATAAATTATACAGCTGATCTAACGGGGGGTACAAGTTGGGGTACAAAACCCACTTTAAAATATCTGAATATATAATGAAACATACCCAAAATATTTTTTTCCACAAAATATCCTTGTAAAATAGGGGTGCGCCTTTTACGCTGGCAAATACGATAATTGATGGTATGCAAACCTAACATCTTAAAATGTTCTATGGAAGGCTCTCGACTCAACACATCCTCCAAATTGACATTACAGTTTAATACTAAGTGTAATAAGTACAATTTGTGACTGCTAGAAATAGTACATAATTACACTTACTTGTGCCGTTACATTTACCTACCCCATATATTCTCCTCATTTTCCGTTAAAACACTCGGAATTTTAGGATGAAGTTTTCACGTTCAATTCTATATACACAAGTTTTATATATAAAGAATTTCTTTTTCAGTTTTATTAAACAATAGAAATTTTATAAAAAATTTGAAAATATCCTCAGTTACTTTATAATTTATTGAAAGATTTTAGTTTTGTTTTATTAGTTTATAAAACTGTAATATCAATATAGCTATAGGTTAAGTACTAATTGTAATTAAGAAGCAATAAAATGCTTGTCCTCATACACTAAGGTTAGATTAGGTCGTGGTTTTCTATTCAGCTTTTCAGGTAAACTCAAATATTCACAATATTTTGGTGCAATTTTGGCGATTATTTGACAGTATGGTTTAATACTAAGTGTAAACATGTAACAAGTACAATTCCTGACTGCTAGGAATAGTACATAATTACACTTACTTGTGCTGTTACATTTACCTCACCATATTCGGAGGATGGCTGCTTGACTAAGTCCATCAGCATTTGAACGAAATACAACAGATGAATGCAATTTTAAGTACTGTATGATTTATCTTACCTTTTTCGTTCTAGCTTGTCATGCAGCTTGGATAAGTCTGTTGTGGTAGTGCCAGCCACATTTACCAGAGTTTGACCTTGCTTTCTAAGTAGTTCTTCAGTTTTTTCATGAGCAGTAACAAGGAACCTGCAAGAAAAAATGCATTTTAAGGTAAACTATAAACATAAATATATGATTTTAATTTCATGAATGTATGAATTGTATTACTTCTCATAGCAGGAACTGTTCACACTTCAGTGCTCTAGGAACACTTGGGATGGTTTCTTTAAACAAGTCATCAGATAAAGTATCTATGGTCTCATTTCAGAAGACCGTTTATCATTTTCCCCTCTACTGACACCCACACAAAAATCTCCTATAGCCATATTCTCATTCCTTCTTTCTCCCTTTCAGTATTCCAGAACAGTCAGAACTTAGAAACTATAATTAACACATCACATTAATATTATTTACAATTTAAAATTAATTGAACAAATTTAACTACTTATAATTACTCAATGATGAATATACTGTACTGAACTCTGCAAAACATTTTCAAATAATTTAAACAATAACGCTAGCACCAAAAGTGTAACAATAGCTTGTAGCCAGAACAAACTGGTTCAGAAATATTCAGCCACATGAGGCAAATGAGGACAAGGAAGCAAATAATTATAGTCAGCTGCAATAATTTTAATATCTTAATTTTATATAATTGGGACAAGGAGGCAAAAGAAAAACCTTGTTCATTTTTTTCATATTCTATAAATAATACATTTGCCATCAAGCCACAATGAGAGTTTGAAATTCTAATTTTCTTTCTATTTACAGAAAATGACAATTTCACTGTCTAAACATGGAAAGCCCATTTCATTAGTCACCAGACAAGATGACGGCCGAGGCCTTTTGGAGGTAATGCAGACATGTTAATCCCGGACCCTGCCATTTCAACTTTTGCATGTAAGCCATAAATACTCATATGGCACTATAGAAGTTTCTTAAAAGCAATTTTGACTGACTAGAATTTTGATGTAAGATTTTGAAGTTATGGTTTGATATAGCGATTCAAACCTTTGAGTAAAATATGTTCCACTCACTCTGTGGCTTTGAATTGGGGACAGCTTATAAATGTACAAATAAGATACAAATAACATACTTTTGCTCTTCACGCTCCTGAGCCGTGTCATGTAATAGCTTCTGAGTGCAAACAAGGGTATTTTTTGTAGTATTAAGCTTGGTCTTTGTCTCGTTGAGCTCCTCGCTAGTACACTCCAACTGACGATTCATATCTTTAAACATTTCCTGAAAAATAAACAACAAATTAAAAGGTGTAATTATATACAAGGAAAGTCATGCCAGGTTATCAGTATCAACAATACAGATAGTCAAATGATTAATACCCTTACCGTTGTCTTTTCAATTTCTTCCTCCAATGCTCGAATATGACTAATCTTCTCGGTTATCTCTTGAGTCTGCAATTCCATCGTGTTGACCATATCCTGATAGTTTTCATGAGCTAAATATACCCCGTTCTTTTCACGCATGGCCATCAGATCACGACGCAAGCGTTCAATTTCTTCCGAATACTCCTAAAAAGTAAATACAAATAGAAAATAAATGCACTCATGTGGTACAGTATACTACTGTATTAGTTTGAATTACAATCTTAGGATGCTTGTAATACTATCTATAAAACAAATTACAGAAAAGGGTATCATGGTAGCAGAAAAAATTAAATTTAGTCATAAAACTTTGGTACTCGATAGATGTCAAGTTTTAAGAAGTGCTGGTGTTAACTCCCCAAATCTTCCTAACAGACACAATCCATCCCTGGGCACTAAACACTTGTTTCAATGGTATGATAATACATAATTGACTAATTTGAATTGTGCTCTCCATTGGGGAAAATTTAACCCTTAAACTGCGCAACGCGCCTGCAGGCTCACGTCTGGTTTGCGCAACGCGCCTCCGGGTATTTGTATTTTTCACGTTCCATTCAAAACTCCCGCGGCTACATGGGGTTCACATCAGCTTCCTCAGGGCTCTTGTAAACAGACGCCATCTTTAAAAAAAATCGTGGTCCACATTCCCGGGTGTGGGAGCCTCAGTAGTGTGTGAGCTCGCAGCATGAGCGCACAGCACTGCTGTTCAGCATGTGACCACAGCATCGCCTAATAATGTCAAAATATATATATAACTTGTATTATTTAGCTATGATAGTGTTATATTAGAGCCTGAGTGTGATAATGACTGGGTACAATGTTCAAATATCAGTGATTCAATGCTGTTCACGATGTTCACAGCGCTAGCCACAGCACCACAGCATTATTTCGTTCATCTAGGAATCTTCAAATGATTTCTTAGGTTCCTTTTCAAAATAAACGTGGTCAATTATTCATTTACAGGAATTAGTGACCAGGATTGTGATAATAGCAGGATTGTGGTTATAATTAGCATTGTGCGTAGTATTGTGGAAGGAGGAATTTTGATGAGGGAGGGAGGGCGAGAATTGAGGTAGCCTCATTGTGTGTGTGGGGCTGCCACTCTTGTTTTGCTCACCATACTAGCTTAGTGGTTCGCTATGGGCAACACATATGTACATGGGTATATATAGTGTGTATATATAGTGTAAGAACAGCAACAGGAGAATGTTGAGAGGAGCTATTTTGGTGAGGGAGGTGACGTAATCGTAGCGTCGTCTGTTGTGTGATTTTTCATGCAGTGTATGGTGGCCACTGTACTGTTTGGACACAATACCGGCTTACTTGCATAGTTCTGGTAATTAAAACATGTAGATAGGTATATAGAACATGTGTAATAAGAACTATAACAATATGGTGGGAGGAGCAATGTTGGCGAGTAAGATGTTGGAGTGAGGGAGACTGGCTGGGTGTGGCTGCTCTCACTCGAGGTGTTCTGAATGTGTTCATGGCCAAATGCTTCTATTGGCCCATACGAGGCAGCTGCTATTGGTCCATACGAGGCAGCTGATATTGGCCCATACGAGGCAGCTGCTATTGGCCCATACGAGGCAGCTGATATTGGCCCATACGGGGCAGCTGATATTGGCCCATACGGGGCAGCTGATATTGGCCCATACGGGGCAGCTGATATTGGCCCATACGGGGCAGCTGATATTGGCCCATACGGGGCAGCTGCTATTGGCCCATACGGGGCAGCTGCTATTGGCCCATACGAAGCAGCTGCTACGCGGTGTTCTGAATGTGTTGATGGTGAATGTATATAGTCTGTGACAGTGTATAGTGTGTAAATAGATTGTATATATACACAAATTAGCATGATACATAATAAATATGTGCTGCATATGTGTACACAAGTTTCATGCACGTAACACAGTGTCTACGGACAGTACGGATGTTGTACTGTGATATTATAGTGTACGTGTTCATTATACATTGGATTGGCACATAAAAACAATGAAAATGTATTTGGAAAGGTGCGCAAAAAATGAACGAAAATATATTCGCAGCAACTCGCGCGCCGCGCCCCACCGCCCCCGAGAGCTTACGGCATGGGCGCACGGGGAATGATGACGTCACGCCCCAACTTCCGGACCCCATAGCAGCCAAAGTAAGTACAATTTCGACTTTTTTTTTACATACCCATACCCATACAAAACCCTTCCCTCAAGGGAAGGGTTTTTGACACTAAAAAGAAAAAAAGAATTTTTTCCAGAGAATTTATTTCCTGCGCACTGCGGGGGTGTCACATTTGGAGGCAACGCAGTTAAGGGGTTAACGTCCTCAGATGCAAAATATACCCACTAACAATTATTTCTGTCATGATGACAATGATTCAAATACTGTGCCTCACAAACTTATAAGAGCCCCACTAACACCATTTGCACACATTTATCTATAAGTATATATAATAATGTCGAGTCGATTGTCCGAGGTTGGAAGCTAGATGTTTAGGACTAGCCTCGCCCAACTTCCACACATGACGTATATCAGGTAGGAAAGCGTCATAGGCTAGTCACGGACGGCTCAAGCAAAATACTTTGAGAAATATTGGCCTTTGAATATTGAATGCAATAGCCAAGTTTGAAATATTGTGATCCCCACCGAGTTGTTTAGCATTTTTTGCTCTTCGTCATAATAAATTTTCTAAAGGTGGCAGAGAGGGGAAGGGTGAGGGACGGGATGAAGCAGGGGGAGGGGGATGGAGCGCGAGAGGGGGGGGGATGGAGCAGGGGAGAGGGGGGGATGGAGCAGGGGAGAGGGGGGGATGGAGCAGGGGGAGAGGGGGGGATGGAGCAGGGGAGAGGGGGGGATGGAGCAGGGGAGAGGGGGGGATGGAGCAGGGGAGAGGGGGGGATGGAGCAGGGGAGAGGGGGGGATGGAGCAGGGGAGAGGGGGGGATGGAGCAGGGGAGAGGGGGGGATGGAGCAGGGGAGAGGGGGGGATGGAGCAGGGGAGAGGGGGGGGATGGAGCAGGGGAGAGGGGGGGATGGAGCAGGGGAGAGGGGGGGATGGAGCAGGGGAGAGAGGGGGGGATGGAGCAGGGGAGAGGGGGGGATGGAGCAGGGGAGAGGGGGGGATGGAGCAGGGGAGAGGGGGGGATGGAGCAGGGGAGAGGGGGGGATGGAGCAGGGGAGAGGGGGGGATGGAGCAGGGGGGAGAGGGGGGGATGGGCAGGGGAGCAGGGGAGAGGGGGGGATGGAGCAGGGGAGAGGGGGGGATGGAGCAGGGGAGAGGGGGGGATGGAGCAGGGGAGAGGGGGGGGATGGAGCAGGGGAGAGGGGGGGATGGAGCAGGGGAGAGGGGGGGATGGAGCAGGGGAGAGGGGGGGATGGAGCAGGGGAGAGGGGGGGATGGAGCAGGGGAGAGGGGGGGATGGAGCAGGGGAGAGGGGGGGGGAGCAGGGGAGAGGGGGGGATGGAGCAGGGGAGAGGGGGGGATGGAGCAGGGGAGAGGGGGGGGATGGAGCAGGGGAGAGGGGGGGATGGAGCAGGGGAGAGGGGGGGATGGAGCAGGGGAGAGGGGGGGATGGAGCAGGGGAGAGGGGGGGATGGAGCAGGGGAGAGGGGGGGATGGAGCAGGGGAGAGGGGGGGGAGGAGGGGGAGAGGGGGGGGGGATGGAGCAGGGGAGAGGGGGGGATGGAGCAGGGGGGAGAGGGGGGGATGGAGCAGGGGAGAGGGGGGGATGGAGCAGGGGAGAGGGGGGGGATGGAGCAGGGGGAGGAGAGGGGGGGATGGAGCAGGGGAGAGGGGGGGATGGAGCAGGGGAGGGATGGGATGGAGCAGGGGATGGAGCAGGGGAGAGGGGGGGATGGAGCAGGGGAGAGGGGGGGATGGAGCAGGGGAGAGGGGGGGATGGAGCAGGGGAGAGGGGGGGATGGAGCAGGGGAGAGGGGGGGATGGAGCAGGGGAGAGGGGGGGGATGGAGCAGGGGAGAGGGGGGGATGGAGCAGGGGAGAGGGGGGGATGGAGCAGGGGAGAGGGGGGGATGGAGCAGGGGAGAGGGGGGGATGGAGCAGGGGAGAGGGGGGGATGGAGCAGGGGAGAGGGGGGGATGGAGCAGGGGAGGGGGGGGGGATGGAGCAGGGGGGAGAGGGGGGGATGGAGCAGGGGAGGGGGGGGAGGAGCAGGGGAGAGGGGGGGATGGAGCAGGGGAGAGGGGGGGATGGAGCAGGGGAGGGGGGGATGGAGCAGGGGAGAGGGGGGGATGGAGCAGGGGAGAGGGGGGGATGGAGCAGGGGAGAGGGGGGGATGGAGCAGGGGAGAGGGGGGGATGGAGCAGGGGAGAGGGGGGGATGGAGCAGGGGAGAGGGGGGGATGGAGCAGGGGAGAGGGGGGGATGGAGCAGGGGAGAGGGGGGGATGGAGCAGGGGAGAGGGGGGGATGGAGCAGGGGAGAGGGGGGGATGGAGCAGGGGAGAGGGGGGGATGGAGCAGGGGAGAGGGGGGGATGGAGCAGGGGGAGAGGGGGGGATGGAGCAGGGGAGAGGGGGGGATGGATGGAGCAGGGGAGAGGGGGGATGGAGCAGGGGAGAGGGGGGGATGGAGCAGGGGAGAGGGGGGGATGGAGCAGGGGAGAGGGGGGGATGGAGCAGGGGAGAGGGGGGGATGGAGCAGGGGAGAGGGGGGATGGAGCAGGGGAGAGGGGGGGATGGAGCAGGGGAGAGGGGGGGATGGAGCAGGGGAGAGGGGGGGATGGAGCAGGGGAGAGAATGGGATGCAGAGGGGGGGATGGAGCAGGGAGAGGGGGGGGGGATGGAGCAGGGGAGAGGGGGGGAGCAGGGGAGAGGGGGGGGGGATGGAGCAGGGGAGAGGGGGGGGATGGAGCAGGGGAGAGGGGGGGAATGGAGCAGGGGAGAGGGGGGGATGGAGCAGGGGAGAGGAATGGAGCAGGGGAGAGGAATGGAGCAGGGGAGGGAATGGAGCAGGGGAGGGAATGGAGCAGGGGAGAGGAATGGAGCAGGGGAGGGAATGGAGCAGGGGAGGGATGGGGGGAGAGGGGGGATGGATGGAGCAGGGGAGAGGGGGGGATGGAGCAGGGGAGAGGATGGAGCAGGGGAGAGGGGGGGGGGGATGGAGCAGGGGAGAGGGGGGGGATGGAGCAGGGGA